TTCAATATCAATTATTTGTCCTATTATCAGAAGTAAAAGATTAAGGTTTTTTAAGAGAAATTTAGTAAATTGGTCAGAAGCTTCTGATGCTTTCTCATTTGCCCTTTTTTGGGGGGAGGGGGCAACATAATAATTTCATTTGTGAATTTTTTTCTCCATTGTTAGGCGTTTTCCTCTCCTTAAGAACTGAGCTGAAAGTTCTTGAATTACTATTTCTTTGATGAAAATCTAGTCTCCTTTGACATCTGAGGTAGAATTGCCAGGCTTCTAGGGTATTATGGTTCTCTGCTACCATGAATTAAAGGCTTTCTGCTAACATTATGGGTTTGAAATTGACCAATAGTCAGTGAATGCCTCTCTAATTCCAAGCTGCTGCTGTTGAGGTCAGAACAACTGATGAAACTTTTATGCGTACCAAAAATGGGACGTGAAAAAGCAAGTGAGGCAGTGTTAAGAAGGGGAAAGAAACCATGTACGCTTTTTGAAAAAAAAAGTCACTACCACAACTTTAAGCTATAGACTATAACTTATGAGACAAAAATCTCTGTAGTACAAGCAGGGAAGTATTGTTTAAGTATGTACCCTTCTGTCCTACCCAGGTCGTGGTAAGTGGATCTCTCAGAACTTGAGGGTTCAGATAATAATTCCTTCAATAATAATAATAAAAAAAAAACCCAACAACATTCAAATACCCCAACAAAAGCAATCTATCGGTGGTATGAAGCAGTCCACAGGAAGGTAAAACCAGATAAAAGCATTTAGTAAGGAAGTTCCCTGGAGTCTTGGGAAATCCCTTCCTAAAACTATTTATATATCCTCCTTGCCCAAAGAACCCACAGGGGACCCTAGAGCCGTTACCTGGAGGTAAAGTTAATTCAAACTTCCCCAGGTTTGCTCCTCAGAGTCTTGGTTTACAATCAGTGATTGGTAGTTTGGGAAAGATAACTTCATTTATGTCTTGGTCCTCAATATATCCCTTTTTCCTACTCATGAAGGTCAATTCAGTAGCTCAGCATAGTCTGTTCTGCTAGGGGATGGGATTCAGAAGGTCACCTTCTGTAACCAGTACTGCCAGAAACAATCCTTACTGCAGTATATTCAATATTCAGGCAGAGAGGTGGCACAGTAGATAAATGCCAGGCCTACAGTCAGGAAGGCTCATCTTCCTGAGTTCAAATCTGGCATTAGATACTAGCTCGTAACCCTGTTTGCCTCAGTTTCCTTATGTGTAAAACAAGCTAGAGAAGGAAATGGCAAACCTCTCTGTTATCTTTGCCAAGAAAACCCCAAATGGGTTCACAAAGAGTCAGACATGGCTGAAATGACTAAACAATGACATTCATTAGCCCTAGCAGATTTTTCATCAGAATTTATTCTCTAGAAGTAAGATTTCTTTAGCACGGCCAAAGCAGAAAGTTTGTCTCCACAAGGGCCATTCTGGTGTGAAATCTGATGCTTCTAGAAGCTTTAACACTGCCTCCCTGTGTGGATCTATTTTTCTTCGTCTGTATTACTCCCCTTCCTGCCCTCTACAATGCAGCCAAACTCAACTTGCTTTCCCTCACACATGATGCAGTGCTCCACTGCCTGTCATCAGGCACTGCTCTGGCCTTCATCCATGCCTGGAATTCATTATGCTCCTTACTTTCACCTCTTACAGTCTCTTATTTAATTTAACATTCAACTTAAGAACTACCTTCTAGCCCTCCCTGCTTGAAATGTTGGCCAGCTAGGGAGGCTGAGGTTGACAGATCTCTTGAGCTCAGGAGCTCTGAGCTGCAGTGGTCTATACTGATCAGGAACAGTCAACCCTAACATGATGAGCTCTCAGGCTCAAAAGGCCACTGAGAGTGAACTGCCCCAAGTCAGAATAGAGTAGGTCAAGGCTCCCATGTAATCAGAGTGAGACTATGGCAAGATAGGGAGATACAGTCTTAAAACTGATTGACTAATTGATTAAATGATTGTTAGGTGGTATCTTTAAGGATTAAAATGTGTTTTAGTGTTTAGACTTTCAACTTTGTTTTTTCACCCAGAGGCAGCTAGGTGGTACAGTAGATAGCAAACTGAACCTGGAGTCTGGAAGACTTGGATTCCAATCCAGCCTCGGACACTTTCTAGATATGGGACCCAGTTAAGAGTTTTGCAAACTTTAAAATACTACATAAATACTAATTATTAATGTTGTTTTTTTGTTACTCATGGAATCTGTTATGAAAATTCTCACAAAGAATGGATGTTGTTAGTCAAATAGCTTTTTTTTGAAGTGTGTAGTAAATGCATGAGCAACATGTTAATATTCTAAATCATAAAAGCATGTTTGCCAAGACACATAGAAAAAAATGAAGGAGTTGTAGTTTTATCAATATGGGGAACTCCCTAGACCAAATGTCTTATCTTAGGAGAGTTTGAACCTAGACCTTAATAATTCCAAACTCGGCCAGCACTCTGTCCACTACATTTAGATGCCTCTAATGACCCAAAGGTATCTAAGACATTTTGTGCCTTCTCTGAGCAACATTCACGTGATGGTTTTTTCTTCTTGTTGCTGGTGAAAAATGTATATGCCATTTGCAATTCATCATTTTTAAATTTCATTTTTAAGACACTATGAGCAAGGTATAATATTTTTATTGAAATGCTAGTTCAGCTTCAAGTCATCTCATAGATAGTTTTATGCACGTGACTAATATGAAGAGAAACATTCAACTACTTTTTCATTTTAATTTTGACAAAAATTAGCTTAAAGGAACACATCTGTGAAATCAAAGAACTACAGAATTTGGAACAAAAAGGCCTTCAATGGCCATCTTGTTTAACCCATGCACAAAAGGAAGCCACACTATAAGATGCCCAACTAGTGATTATCCAACCTCAGCTTGAGACCTCCAAGGAGTGGGACCCCAAGACTCTTATGGCAGCGCATTCCACTTGTTGACAACTCCAATTGTTAGGAAGTTTTTTCCTGACATCAGGCCTAAATTAACCCCTTTAAAGGTATTGCCCATTGATCCTACTTCTGCCATCTGGGGCCAGAAAGAACAGTCTAAGCCAGGGGTAGGGAATCTCTGGCCTTGAGGCCACATGAGGCCTTCTAAGTCCTCAAGTGTGACTCTTTAATTGAATCCAAACTTCACAGAACAAATCCCCTTATTAAAAGGATTTGTTCTGTAAAACTTGGACTCAGTCAAATGGCTATGCCAAGGATCTAGAAGGCCACATGTGGCCTTAAGGTCGCAGGTTCCCCAACCACGGTATAGTCCTTCATCCAGATGACGTCTCATCAAATTCTGGAATACAGAAATCATGTTCTTTAGAATCTTTTCCTTGGGCGAAATACCCACAGTTCCTTCAACTGATATGCACATGACATGGATTCAGTAAGGCTTTTCATCATCCCTTTTGTCCTCCTCTGGACACTCTCCAGCTGCTCAGTGTATTTTAAACTATGTTTCCTGGAACTTTTCACAATACTCCAGATATGTCTAAGGTGTCAGAGCACAGGGAAACTGTCATATTCTATAATCGTCATTCCTTCATGGTTTCTTATACCTCATGTATATTTCTAAGGTGAATGCTTCAGTGATGTTTATTATGGAATCAACTGACTGACTTAACTCTAAGTTTAGTTTTTTTGTTTTTGTTTTTGTTTTTTGTTGTGTATATCTGAGATATGTCAGGATTCGATTTGGAAGTTAGCTAACAAAGTTATGAAGACAATAATTAAATCAATAGCACACTTCCAAAAACAGCATTTTAGTACTGCTGTCAGCATTCAACCTTGTGCCACGGGTAGTAGCTAATTTTATTTTAGAACCTTTTTTCTGAATTAACAGTACTTCCATCATACATCTACCAGAAGATCTACATGATATAAATGTGGCTGCCTCATTTAATTGAATAAAGGCATAAACAAAAAGAAAGTATGCTGACATTTTGATACTCATGGGGAATGGGGGGGAGTTGAATAAGGTACAATTAACTTTTAGGCTCCTTTATACCTTATGCAGCATGGAGACAAAAATTTAGATACATTATTTTTACCCCTTATGATGCCATTTAGAAAATGAACTTTGCTACTTAATTTTTCTGGTATTTTAGAGCTTAATAGAATGTCTTGAATATATTAGGCATTCCATTAATATTTGTTTTAATGGAATTATTTAAAATATAATGGTTTTATCTCTGGACATTATTGCTTTATAACTGATGATCTTCTCAAAAGTACAGAAACTATTTGCTGAGAGAAAGAGAGAGACAGAAAGAGACAGACAGAGAGAGACATATAGAGAGCGTGCTACTTTAGGGGTGAAGGAAAAAACAAATTACACTAAACTTAGAATAGTGACAGTAACTTGTAAAAGCATTTTGTCACCCATTAGAAGCTCACCCCACTCTCCACATACCAGAAGCATTTTTTCTTCCCTTTGTTCCTAGCTCTTGAATTTGCTGGATTTTTATACAACTAGCTAATAACAATAACAGTACTAATAGCTAGATTTTACATAGTGCTTTAGTGTTAAGCATTTTGCATATATCACTTCATTTGCTCTTTGCAGCAATCCTCTGGTTAGGTGTTATTATATTCCCATTTTCATGCATGAGGAAATGGAGACTGAAAATAGTTCCATGACTTGCTAAGGGCCAAACCATGAGTGTCTGAGGAAGACCCAGGTCTTCATGAATCCCAACTCCAAGGCTCTATCCATGGCTTATAAAACATTTCCTTCATTGTAGTCCCATGAGATAAATGAGTGCAAACATTTTTATCCACACTTTGCAGATGAGGAAGCTTAGACTCAACTAAGTCAAGTGATTTGATTACATACTTAAACAACTAATAGGAATGAGTTCTAGCTGGAACCAGACCAGTAGTTTTGTGATCAGAGCACACTTTCCACTTCTTTCCAAACTCAGTAACTAGTGAAGTAGAAATCCAGAACAGGTACATACTCTCACCACAGGCTGCAAGCTGATGATAAAGTTCTTCTGTGTTTCAGATTTGATTCTCACAAAGGTTTCTGGTGTCAGTTATTGGAAGAAGGTAAAACCAAATGCCTTGGGAAGAGCAAAGGAAGGAAGTACCCCCCCATGGATTCTGAGGTAAGGTGACTCCGAACCATCATGGTGAATCATCATGGCCTTTGACCTCTTCCCTACTTCCCCCATCCCAGTCATATAGTTTTAACACATAACAGAATAAAGGCTTAAAACAGCATTCTGCCTGTGTCAAAGTGAAAATGATTTATCATGACTGGTGCTTGGATGCCAACCCCCTCTGGTTGTTTGATTTTGGTATTCTTCTGTTACACATCATTGAGAAAAGTTAAAGAAAGCAGACAACTTGCCCTGTTAGGTCAGGAGAAGATATTGATTCTGAGGTAACTTAAAACTCCCTTCCTAAAGGAAAATTGTCTTCACCTGAAATTTGAATGCTTAAAGTAATTAACTTCAAACCAAAAGAGGAAGTCTATTGTTTAAAGAGAAATGCCATCACCATGAGAACCAAATGAATTTTTTCAGTTCTTTTTGCTGCCTGGTAGAAAACTGCAGACATTACTGTTAGAATACTTGAAAGTATGCTCAGGTCAGGTCGAAATGAGCTGAAAGAATCCATTCATATCCCATATAATGGACTTGCCATCTAGTAATTTAGGACTAAAGAGAATGAAAGGAAATCATTATGTTTTGGTGAAGTTGTCCAGCCCATAGCATGTACCTGCAAATACAAGAAGGGCTAATCCCCCAATAATGAGACATAATCATTGTATATCTTCAAGTTGGCTGGTTCAGCATCAACAAATTTTAAGATTTGCATTTATTTTATTGTGTAGCTTTTTAGCACTTACTATACTAGTTCACTTTCTTGAAAAGCAGGAGAAATATTCAGCAAAGTCCATACACAAAAATTTGACCACACTGTGATTTTTGTAAAAGGATGACCTGGGTTTAATTCCATTTATGACCATATCCTAGCTTTGTAACCCTGGACAAGTCATTTAACCTCTTGGTGCCCCATATAACTCTGACATGATTAAGTTGAAGAGCAGTTACAGATCTCCATTGCTGGAGGGGCCTTTCTCACTAAGAAATCATTAATGAAATACATATAAACATATATGTGCATGTGTTATTTGTTCCATATATGTATATATTGCAACATACATAAACATGTATTTTATACATACTAAAAGTAAATTTCTCCAGTGTTTGCAGAAAATGTAAATATCATTAATTTAAAAAAAACACTTTTCTCCATTTTTATGGAAATTAAAAATGCCTGCAATATACTTCAGGATATGCTTCTTGCCATTCCTGTCTGATAGAAGAACATTGGCACATAATGTAAAGGTGCCATCAGTTCAGAAAAACTCCAACATCCTCTTCTCAGCCTTAACTCTGACATAACTTTCAGAGAAATCAATTCTCTCATGAAGACAGAAAAGGTAATATAAATATAAGGAAAATAATATAAATATAGTGAAAATATAAACTGGGTTTACTTGGAAAAATAAACTGGCTGACCACATGGAAATTTTGCTTAGAGAGACTCTAATATTTGGAGTCAAAGAGCTTCTATAGCCATGGTGTTTAACACATAGCAGGCCCTTATTAAATATTTAATTGACTCAGCATTAATAAAAAGAAAACCACAAGAAGAAACTAAAGTAGATAATTACAGCCATACTAGATATAAAAATATTAAGTTTTATTCCATTTAATAGCAATAGCTTACATTTCAGTTAAATATATTTTATATTAAGTATTTACATCAATTATTCACATGATAGACATTGACAAAGGCTGTAAGTATGACCTTACCAAAATAAAAAGTTCCCTGAAAAGAGGAAATACTTGGGCCTGGTGAATGAAGAGAAATAGCTAATAGACTGTTTATCAAAGTGGATCACTTAACTTGTTTCCCTCAGTTTCCTCATCTGTAAAATAGTAACAATAATAGCACCTACTTCTCAGGGTTGTTGTGAGGACCAAATGAGGTAATATTTGTAAAAAGCACTTAGCACAGTGCCTGGCACATAATGGGCATTAACACTGATGTAAAATGGTTGTTATTGTTGTTACTTTCAAGACCGAGGGCAACCATCACACTTGGATTAATCAGTCAGTGTCCATTTAATATGTACCTACTCATAGTACTAGGTTCTGGGGAAATAAGAAAAAAAAATGAAACAGACTCTGCCTTAGCCTAATGAGGCAGTGAGTAGGTCTTTGTGGGAATTAAATGTCTTTTCTTTAATATGTATTTTTTATCTCTCTTCTTCCTCAACCCCAGTGTAGAACATTTCTGTCAAGCTACTATCGTGATCATAATGTGGAACTATCTAAGCTATTACACAAACTGGGGCAGCCGCTGCCAGCCTGGCTAAGACAGGAGTTACAGAAAGTGAGATAGCATCAAGAGAAACCCTCTCCCCCCCAAGAATATTTCTGCCATGCATCATTCACCTTTGCTAAAGCCTCCAGAAGCTACCAAAAGGCTGTTGTAACATACACCTCTTCGAAAGAGAAGAAAGAATGGAGTTCTTCTTTCCATGTGCTGGCATGTGGACTATAAAAATGTATATATCTGTTCCAACTCTTGAGGCCTATGGCCTTTCTTTTACACCCTGTCTGGGCCTGTGGAATAGTTGTAGACTACTGTACTCTCATGTGGAAGTCAATAACAACTGATATAAACATCCAAAGCAAAGCTGCAGAATGGTCCAATTTCATATTAACTATTTACACTTTTATATATCAACTAAAAGTATTGTGTCTTGTAGATTTTTTAGCCCATCGTTTTCCTGCTCGCTCTTTTCTTACTATCTGACGATAAAGTGTCTTACAAAATAGAAAAAGAAACTTCATGTTATAGAACAAAAATGGCAAATGACTACCGCTTTTGGTAAATGTTGGCCAAATTTTGAACCGAGTGATATGTCTTGAAAGAATTGAGAATGTTGATTTGTGCTGTATCTGGGAATGGAAGTATTAACCATGTTGTCTTATCTACATCACAAAGGAATAGCTAAATGCTACAGCAAAAAAGAGAAATAAAATGAAAGAGAGAAAGAATAAGAAGGAAGAAAAAAGCAAGGAAGGATGGAAGGGAAAAAGAAAGAAAGAAGAAAGAGAAAAGGAAGGGAGGGAGGAAGGAAGGAAAAAAAGAAGGAAGAAAGGAAGGAAGGAAGGAAGGAAAGTGCTATGTACTTGATTCAATCTTGGTTTAATCTAGTCAGTCCTAATTCACCTGTTTTATATATTTGTAATTTTTGCACTGAAAAAGATAGTAGAATAGTATCAATGAATATTTGATTGTACAAGCCCAGTAAGTGGTTATTCAAAGTTGAATGATTCTTCTAAAGAGGGCTAAACTTCTGTAACTATATACTGTATCACAGCAATATTCATATCCCTAGAGTGCTGTGAACTGTAAATCCTACTCAGATGGTCTTCATTTGCCCAACACTTCTCATCTCATATATGACTTCTATAATATATGTCATCTCCAACACCAGACTGATAAATACTTTCATACTTGTTTATATTCTCCATTACCAAACCTATTAGAGCCAAAGATAGGGATATTTCCCTACAAAGAAATAACTTTTAGCTGTTTAAAGGAAAATTATAAACTGAAAAGATTTTTGGAGATTTCAAGGTAAAACCTTGCGACTTCACAGTTTATAAGTAAATACAGAGAGTAAATGCACATGAACAATGTGAAATGTGTGATCATATTTTTAATAGAGGGCAAGAGAAAAAGAAATGTTTGCCAGTATTGTGGCTATTCTTTTGAAAGTTCCATAGAAGACAATCTAATCCAATGGAGTTAAACTATATTTTTTAATTGTACAGATGACCATTTAAATATAAAACAAGAAATCAACAAAATGTCATCTTTATTATCTAGTGCTAATCATTTAATTGCATCATATATAGTTACACATACATGGCAAAGACAAAGTGAGAAGGGTTGGTAACATTCAAATTAAATTAATAATATTTAAAGAAATAATTTTAGGCCTATAATAACAAGCATATGTCAAGCAATACAAACTGATTTAATCACATCATACCAGCTGTTTATAAATTTCAGAGATCAAAAGGAGAGATAGTGTCACTTAGTGGATGAGGCTGGAGTCAGTAAGAGCTGGGCTCTTAATTCCTCCCTCTGACTCATACTAGCTCTATGACTACACACACACACACACACACACACACACACACACACACACACACACAATCTCTTAGTGCCCCCAGGGAACTCTGTAAAACAGAAAGAATTGCTGATCTGGATTGCTTCTGGGAGTTTTCACTATGGGAGTTCCCTATACCAGTGAAAGTATTCCCAAAAAAATGATTGAGGAAATGTTGTTTATTAAATAAGAAGAATATTGATTAAGAATTCATTATTATTTGTCCTTATTGACTTGTAACAGAAATGAATCAAAGGCTTTGATAAGTGAGGCAGCTCAAAGAAAGCACCTGAAGATTTCATCATCAATGTGATAGATCTAGACAGTTATTCTCTAATTAGTAAGTAGATTGTGAGATCCTTGTATTTATATTGCCCTAATAAAATGTCTTCTGCTTTAAAGATATTAATAAGATAATATACTTTGGATAGCATCAAACATCATGTGCTATAACGCTTGCCTGTCTGTAACGCTGAAAGCATTAACACAAAAATTGGACAAAACAAAAACAAAAAATAGTGTACAATTACCATTATAGAAACCCTTAATATTAAAATACTTGTCACTTATTTTGTTCAAAATTTCAGAGGGTCTGTGATTACAACTGTACTTTAAGTGTTACTTCCTTTGAAGTAGCTGAGGTCTCATATATTCTACTCAGTTACTGTCTTCTTTTTCCTTGAATGTAAGAAACTACCAGTGACTTTTAGATGAGGCTGACTAAAAAGGAATACATAATATACATACACATACATACACATACATACATACATACATACATGCATGAGATTATGCTCTTGGGCTCTCAGTTTAGCATCTAGATTTCCAATAAAGTAATAAAAAATAATTGATTTATACAACATTCAAACTCTCCTTTCTAGGCTCACAACTTTAAAAAGTGTTACATGTGTGCATGCCACCAAGCATGATAGTACACACTGGTAATCTTAATTACAGAGGAGGCAAAAACTGTTTGATGTCTTGAGTTCAGACTTCAAAGCTACAGTACTGATAGCACCAATTGGGAGTCCACAGTAAGTACCGCTCCAATGTGGTGAGACCCTTGGAGCAGGTGACAACCTTGTAGCCTGAGGAAGGGTGAATTTGCCCAGGTCTGAAATGGACTCTCATGCAAATTAAAGCAGGACTGGTCCTGTGAATAGCCCTTGCACTTCTAGCCTGGGCAATATGGGAAGATTAAAAAAAAAAACCCAAAAAAACCAAATAGCTTATATTCTTCTAATCCTGCCTAGGTAGGATGAATTTACTCAACTGACTGCCTTTTCATGATACTTTATGAGTGTCTCATGGACATAATAGGGATGCTTATAACCACCACCACCAACAAATCAGGATGAATCCATTGAAATGCACATGAAACATGCTGTTAAAAAAAAATAAAAGGAAAAAAAAAAGAAAGGCTTACTGACAGCTCGGTATAGCTTGGACAAAAGTACAGAGTCCCTGAAGGACAGGCATACCTTAAGCATTACATATAGCAGCTGGATATATCATTCTGAAATAAATACACATGAGAAAAGGATAAGATGAAGTGATTTGCAAACTAGCTTTGTACAGAATCCCCTTTTTCATTGCTTAAAATATGAAACTTCCTCAGGAAGAAATGAAATAGTTATTTCAATGTTTATAGCTGTAATATTCTTGTCATTCACATTGAATGAAAATCACTGGAAACATTTTTTCTCTTTTTTTTTAAAATAAAAACCTGGATATTATTCTGATAGTGGCATGATATCTGCTATGTACAACAATAAACTCTGATAATAAAATGTCTCACCAAGGCCTCCTGACTTTATGTTAATAATTTATCTTTTTTATTGTTTGGTTTTGAACTTGAACCTTATTAGCATAACTAAGAATGCAAGAGATTCACAAATGGGTCTTTATAGAAAAACAGTATTACTGATTCTCTTTCAATTTAATCCCTGTATAATACCTGTTTCCTCAGGAGTTATTTACTTCCTGAATTATTGGATCATAGAGTCACATATGCAGAAGAGGTCTTCAAGGTTGCCAAGAATTGTAAAAGCAGTGTGATTACATGAACTGTGACGAGATACGATATCAAGATCTGAATAAATAAAAGCCGCTTTCACCACAAAAAAAAAATAAAATAATAATTAACATTTGGGTCAATATTCTTGAATGTGACTTACCATACCTAAAAACATTTTTCCCCAAATTTTCCACCCCACCTCCACACTGTTAATTTTACCCCTACTATTTTTCACTCAGTTCATTGCTGAAGACATTTTCTCTACACACCACAGGGACTTGGCAAATGTTATTACAGAACTGATTCATCTTCCTTTTACAATTTCAACAATATTTCCACCTCCCAGCTCTTTCTGTATTCCAATCAGTATGTTTTCTTCACCATTTAGTCCAGCCTCCATCATTTATAAACAATATCAATAACTGGCTAATAAGACTGAGGGCAGTTATTGCATAGTGATTAGAGAGAACCAGTCTCAAAGCCCAAAAGACTTAAGTTTAAGTGTCCCCTTGACATATACAGACTGTGTGACTGTGGGCGAGTCATTAACTTTTCAGGGCCCTTAAGACAACTGCAGGGCAAGATGACCTGCTTTGGTAGAGAGAATCATTCATCAGGGCTCTTCCAGTACCCATCCCTAAGACTGGCACCAGATGCATCTTGTCTCTTCCTTCTCAAGCACCTCCCTGAGAAAAATTAGCAACTGGTAGGTACGATGATTATTTTAGGGAACAATCTTGGTTACATCATATATTATATTCACATACTGTATTCATACAGTAACTGCTTACATAGTGTAGCTCATATGTCAAGGAGCCCAAAGCACATTTCAGATTTTTAATTCTTTAGTCAAGGTATCTCTTTAATCAAGAGTTCTATTAGGAAAGATTTCCTACCCAGAATATTTCTTGTTTTTATTGATTTTAATGTATTTTTATTTGGATTATAATGATGATGCTTAAGGCAATTAAATAGCTAGATCCTGAGTAGTGAGAAAAATGAATACTGTGAAGTGATCCCATTATTTGAATTCACACTGAATATTTCCACTGTGCTGGAATCAATTATCATATTTTACATAATTATAAACTCAAACAGTGTGAACGGGAATACATGCAACCACTTCCTAGGATTCATTATTCACACTAATCTGGACATAGCTGCACTTTAAAAAAAAAAACAGGATACATGTTTTTAATTGGTGCTCCCTCCATTGAGATAGATAATAAACTCTCTACGACATAATAGGCTTCGGGACTTTAGTAGAAAAAAGTTCATTTTCTTTAAAAAAAAAAGTCTCATCTGAGGCCACATCCAAGGTTGGACAGGAAATGGGACCATTCATTTTTCTAAAATGTTATGAATTGCTTCTATTTAACTCTTCAGGTGACATCCTTAATATTTCAAAAAGTGACAGCCTAGGAAATGTAAAAATTAAGGAGGAAGAGAAGGAGGAAGAGGAAAAAGAGGAGGAGAAAGAAGAACCAAAGGACTATTTAGGTCACCAAGAAGTGTTTTCTTCAACATACATTTAGGTTACTATTTGACATTCTGAATATGCAACATGAATGGATAAATGGAACCAGCTGAGACATGCACTGTTATCAAATCATATTTGCAGCAGTGTGCCATATAGATTAAACTGAAGAGATACTTGTGGTAGGGAAACTCATTAGAAGGCTATTGTGGTAATCACAGCAAGAGGTGGGAAAGGGTAAATAAGTGTGAGTACAGACAAAGATGTTGACACTAAAGTGAAAGGTGTTATAGAAAAGAAAAGGTTTAGCATTTGATTAGATGCATGGGGTGAAACACAGAATGAAGGGTTGAAGATAACTCAGAAGTTGTTAACCTGAGTGACTTGAAGAATTGTTGTGACACTGACATATTAGGGAAGTTG